CAACTGGAACTTAAAAGCACAGCTGAGTCACAGGGATGTTAAGAATTTCTTCCTTAGCCTTCGAGTGGCAAGATCCATATATTGCTTTAATTAAAAAATAGGAACGATATGTCTCAGGGAACAAGGAGAGTGTGAACCCACTAGAGGCCAGTGGAGAGGAGGGCCCAGGAGCTGAAGACCGACATCTGCAACCACAAATAGGTGAGTAGAAAGTGAGAATACACACACACACACACACACACACACACACACACAGAGCCAGGATCTGTGACTCGACCCCTGCAACCACATACAGGTGAGCGCACGCGAGAGAGAAAAAGAGAGAGAGCTCACAGGGATGTTAGAAATTATTTCTTCAGTCCTAGAGTAGTTAAGACAGCGGAGTGGTAGAGGTAGGATCTATACATAGCTTTGAAGAGGCATGATAAGGTTCTCAAAGTCGGGAAAGAGTGAACCCAAAAGTAACCAGCAAGAAGCCGGAACCAGGAGCTGCAACCACAAATAAACACACACACACACACACACACACACACACACACACACACACACACACACACACACACACACACACACACGTCAGTCATATTTTGGAATATACAGCACCAGTATGGAGCCTACACATCGTCAAGCATGTCAAGGTACTGGACATAGTACAAGGATTTGCAAGAAATTAAACCTGGCAATAATAGAGGACAAAGAATCAGGGATGATATAATAAACGCATACAAAATACTTAGGAGAACTGATAAGGTGGACACGGCAGACTTTTCAATAGGTAAGAAACAGGATCACGGGGTTATATAATACACTTATTAAAGGAGACATCACTGACAACTTTATGAGTCCTAATTAAACACATACCGATAACCTGAAAAATAAAGGAGCAGAACTACTCATAAAAGAGTGAGATTTACACAGACGTTAGCTCCTGGAAGCCTCAATGATTGCGTTTTCTAACACAATCGCATAAAATTAACTGAGTTTCAGAATATCCAGTATTCTTGGTATAGTGATTCTTGTGTATGGAATAATTTCGCAAAACTAATTCTGAACCTAACGACAAAAAAATATTTCATTGTGTTTGTTTTAGAAAGGACTTAATTTTAAATGAGTTCTTGCTAATTGACCAGTTTTACTTATTCGGCACGACACAAACACACACACACATTATATATATATATACATATATATATATATATATATATATATATATATATATATATATATATATATATATATATATATATATATATATATATATGTCGTGCCGAATAGACAGAACTAGCGATCTTGGTTTAAATACCAACGCTCTTCTTGCCATATAGGACAAGTGAAAATTTGTGAATGCAATAATTTCTTCAAAATCATTCTGAACCTAACGAAAAAAATACATTTCACTGTGTTTGTTTAGTATTAAATTATTGTAAACAAATCTAAAATATATTTAGTTGGGTTAGGCTAAAATAAATTGCTCTTGTTATAATAAGGTTAGGTAAGTTTTCTAAGTTCCTTTAGGTGCAAAATTATAAATTTTTACATTAACATTAATGAAAAAAATATATCTTTAAACGTATAAGAGAAAATTTCAGAAAGGACTTAATTTTAAATGAGTTCTTGCTAATTGGCCAGTTTTACATATTCGGCACATTTATTTATATATATATATATATATATATATATATATATATATATATATATATGCAATAAGATCACAGTAAACAGGTGATATCAGAATATGCAAAATAACCACTGTGAAAGGACAGTGAAATTCGAAACCGCTTGAAATTTTACTATCCTTTCACAGTGGTTGTTTTGCATATTCTGATATCACCTGTTTACTGTGATCTTATTGCATGTATATTATATATATATATATATATATATATATATATATATATATATATATATATATATATATATATATACAGTGGACCCCCGCATAGCGAACTTAATCCGTGCAAGAGGGCTGGTCGTTATGCGAAATGTTCGCTATGCGAATTAATTTTCCCCATAAGAAATAATGGAAATAAAATTAATCCGTGCAAGACACCCAAAAGTATGAAAAAAAAATTTTTTTACCACAAAAAAATGTTAATTTTAGTACACACAAACTGAAAAAGGCATGCACAATTACATGACACTTACTTTTATTGAAGATCTGGTGATGATTGATGGGATGGGAGGAGGGAGAAGCATTATCTTCTTACTGTTTAGAAGGGGAATCCCCTTCCATTAGGACTTGAGGTAGCAAGTCCTTTTCTGGGGTTACTTCCCTTCTTCTTTTAATGCCACTAGGACCAGCTTGAGAGTCACTGGACCTCTGTCGCACAACAAATCTGTCCATAGAGCTCTGTACCTCCCGTTCCTTCAAGACTTTCCTAAAATGGGCCATAACATTGTCATTGAAATAGTCACCAGCACGGCTTGCAACAGCTGTGTCAGGGTGATTTTCATCCATAAAGGTTTGCAGTTCAACCCACTGTGCACACATTTCCTTAATTTTTGAAGTAGGCACAATGGATTCCACAACTGGCATAGGCTTCTCAGGGTTAGCCCCAAACCCTTCAAAATCTTTCTTAATTTCCATACTAATTCTCACCCTTTTTACCACAGGGTTGGCACTAGAAGCTTTCTTGGGGCCCATGGTCACTTATTTTCCAGAAACAGCACCGAAAACACTGTAATAATACGAAATATTCCGAGTGTATGCTTGAATGTTACCGCGGAGGCTAGCTGGTAAACAATGGGACGGGCGGCACATGTGAGGCTGGCTGAGGGCCCACATTGGACGCGTCTCGGACGAAGTTCGCTGAGCGGGTTTTTGTCTACTATGCGGGGCAAAATTTCAGCGAACAAAGCGTTCGCTATGCGGATTGTTCGCTATGCAAGGCGTTCGCTATGCGGGGGTCCACTGTATATATATTTAAAAAGTCGGCCGTCTCCCACCGAGGCAGGGTGACCCAAAAAAGAAAGAAAATCCCCCAAAAGAAAATACTTTCATCATTCAACACTGGCACATAATCACTGTTTTTGCAGAGGTGCTCAGAATACAACAGTTTAGAAGCATATACGTATAAAGATACATAACATATCCCTCCAAACTGCCAATATCCTAAACCCCTTCTTTAAAGTGCAGGCATTGTGCTTCCCATTTCCAGGATTCAAGTCCGGCTATATAAAAACAACCGGTTTCCCTGAATCCCTTCACTAAATATTACCCTGCTCACACTCCAAGAGCTCGTCAGGTCCCAAATACCATTCGTCTCCATTCACTCCTGTCTAACACGCTCACGCACGCTTGCTGGAAATCCAAGCCCCTCGCCCACAAAACCTCCTTTACCCCCTCCCTCCAACCTTTTCGAGGACGACCCCTACCCCGTCTTCCTTCCCCTACAGATTTACACGCTCTCCATGTCATTCTACTTTGATCAATTCTCTCTAAATGACCAAACCACCTCAACAACCCCTCTTCAGCCCTCTGACTAATACTTTCATTAACCCCACATCATCTCCTAATTTCCACACTCCGAATTTTCTGCATAATATTTACACCACACATTGTCCTTAGACAGGACATCTCCACTGCCTCCAACCGCCTCCTCGCTGCTGCATTTACAACCTAAGCTTCACACCCATATGTGTGTGTTGGTACTACTATACTTTCATATATTCCCTTCTTTGCCTCCATAGATAACGTTGTCTCCACATATACCTCAACGCACCACTCACCTTTTTTCCCTCATCAATTTTCTATGATTAACCTCATCCTTCATAAATCCATCCGCCGACACGTCAACTCCCAAATATATGAAAACATTCACTTCTTCCATACTCCTCCTCCCCAATTTGACATCCAATATTTCTTTATCTAAATCATTTGATACCCTCATCACCTTATCTTTTCTATGTTCACTTTCAACTTTCTACCTTTACACACATTCCCAAACTAGTCTACTAACCTTTGCAATTTTTTTTAGAATCTCCCATAAACACAGTATCATCAGCAAAAAGTAAGTGTGTCAGTTCCCATTTTGTATTTGATTCCCCATAATTTAATCCCACCCCTCTCCCGTACACCCTAGCATTTACTTCTTTTATAACCCTATCTATAAATATATTAAACAACCATGATGACATTACACACACACACACACACACACATATATATATGTCGTGCCGAATAGGCAGAACTTGCCATCTTGGCTTAAATAGCAACGCTCATCTTGCCATATAGGACAAGTGAAAATTTGTGTATGCAATAATTTCGCCAAAATTATTCTGAACCTAACGAAAAAAATATATTTCATTGTGTTTGTTTAGTACTAAATTATTGTAAACGTATTTAAAATATACTTAGTTGGGTTAGGCTAAAATAAATTACTCTTGTTATAATAAGGTTAGGTAAGTTTTCTAAGATTCTTTTGGTGCAAAATTAAAAATTTTTGCATTAACAATAATGAAAAAAATATATCTTTAAACGTGTAAGAGAAAATTTCAGAAAGGACTTAATTTTAAATGACTTCTTGCTAATTGACTAGTTTTACATATTCGGCACGACATATATATATTAATATATATATATATATATATATATATAATATATATATATATATATATATATATATATATATATATATATATATATATATATATATATATATTACAATAAAACGCGTAATTACAAATATGAAAAAATACCAGTGAAAATAGGAAACAAAATCTTGCCACTCTCATGCGCTTACACACACACACATTCAGACAAACATATCTAAAGGTGTGTAAGCACATGAAAGCGTTTACACACATACATAATGTGCATAAAGCTCAATCATTCGCCTTTGTACAGTCAATAATACAATTCCTTCAAATTTCTAAGTTTTTAGCAAGCATTTTGCTTAGAGTTGGAATCACGCAGACGTATTTCTGTGCCTGTTTGTGTATGTGTGTATGTGTGTGTATGTATGTATATGAGTGGGTGCGTGAGCCTTGGCACACGAGGTAGTGAGCTCAGTGGTGTGTGGTAGACTGAGGTGGTGTGCTCTGCCAGTCAGGCGGCTAGCGTCGCTCATGTCGGGAGTGTATCTCGCTGCGCTCACCCAACCCGACACGCCCTCGCTCACTTTTCCAGTTCTCAGTTTCGTTCCTCAATTATTAAATAATGTTGCTTGGTGTGCTTTTCATATTCTCAGTAAGAAATTGCTTAAGAAATGTTTAGGAACAAAGGTGAGATAATATAGTTACTGTTGCTCTCTGAAGACTGACCCCACACCACATTATCTCTACTTAGATACCACCTATGTAAGACATCATGGAGCATCATTCTCAATCCTAAGATGGAAATGATGATAGCTTCAATTGTCGAAATATTGTACACAGAGGTGAGTACAATTATAAAATAACTTAATTTTAAGACAGATAACTATAATTTTGTTACAGGTAATGCTCATTACTGATTTCTTCCAGTGGACAGATTGTGTAGCACCATGTAGTTATATATACTGTGTATTACAGTCGTAGTCAAGCTATGGCTTGCGAACCGCATGCGACCGTTTACACACTGAGTGCAGCTCAGTGAGGCAATATCAAGAATGGAAAGTGTTATCACACTAAGCATAAAAACTGAGTTCATCACTACTTAAGCGAAACGATACAAACTGAACTGTCTTAAGTATATTTAATTATGGGTTCTCGAGAGTAATCTTAGGAACAGAATTTACTGCAAAAAACACTATTAAGAGAATTAAAGCGAAAATAATAACTTAGACGCTTCTTGATGAGTGAGGGATGAGTGAAGAGTTGCTTGATATTCTTTATAATGAAACCATCCAACGTTACTCTAGTGCTCACACGCGAATAATCAGTTGCGCTCCCTCCAGGGTGCTTCCTAAGGAAATGAACCTGACCTCAGTGTTCCTGGATCGAATCTGATTGCTTCCAGTTTCCCTAAGTGTTGTATGACTCCTTCGGGAATTGTATACTCCCTCTCCCCCATGAATAAAATAATAATTATTATTATTGTATATGAAGAAGGGGTTAGAAATTTAAGCTGTAATAAATGTTAAATACAAGGGTTACTTTTATTCCTCAAGGGTATATATAATAGGTTCAGCAGTTTGTGATATATACCTCTAAATATACTACTGACACTAGCAAAGAAATAACACAAGTTTTTCAGTGTTTCACAACGATGAAGAGGTTTTCATGTAGCGTTATACATGTTTAGCAATTTTTTGAAATTAAAAATCGAGTGTTTCGAAGTGTATCGCAGAGCAGTATAGGAGAGTGAAACAAGTGGATAATTAATTAATTTAAACAGACCTGTCAAATATATATATATATATATATATATATATATATATATATATATATATATATATATAGCAGAATAAAGTTAAAAAGTAAGTTATGTCTGGTCAAAAAAATACATCGTTGTCAATAAAGAAAACATTTATCAGTATGTACCTATTTTTTTTTTTGTGGGGGGGGAATATCTATTGTTTAAAGATTATATCAGATCAGCCTGTTCAGCTTATTAAGCACTAAATATATAGAAATACATGGCAAAGGCAATGGTAAATAGTAATTAGAAAGGTTTTAATCAGTCATCAACTGGGACGTCTCTGAACAATTTAACATGAAAACTAACCGTATTTTAATAATTTAAGGTCAGCCATAGTGTTAAGCTTGTCAACAAAATCAATATTATTCTTTCATTAAGTTAGAAACTTTACATACAAATGGTCTCATTATATCGGCTAACCATTTCGATTTGTAAGCGACAAACTATGGAGCTAATTATGGGTCTAACTGGATTACCTGGTTTATATTTTGTTCAATCTATACATATATAGTAAAGATGGGTTGGTGGTCATGAATTTTTTTAGTTCATCTTTGCCTTTCAGTAGTCGTTTTATTCTTTTGTTAATTTAATATAACTGAATCTAGGAGATTCTTTTTGAGATTATTTTATCTGTATTATTCAAGAGATTATTAATATTACCTTGGTAAAAAAAATTTATGGTTAAATGGAAAAAAATCTTGAACTAAAATTACAGCAGCATAAATATAGCATTAGAAGTTGACGAGAGAAGGTTGTCATGCAAGACTATGACTAAGCGGATTATAATAAAGCTTCATAACTCTTCTGTTGTTAAATTATTTTTTTACTATCCATGATGATGTGAAAAATAATGAAAGGTCTTAAAATTTCACTATTTTTCCACAGTGGTTATTTTGCATATCGTGATATCACTTTACTGTGATAATGTTGTGTTTACATATATATATATATATATATATATATATATATATATATATATATATGACAAAAAATCGCTATTGTTATTTAAGCTTAAATCACAAGTAAAGATGGCGATTTGGCCGAATAATGTAAGCGAAAGTTTGTGTATGAAATAATTTCGCAAAAATCATTCTGAATCTAACGAGAAAAATATATTTCATTGTGTTTGTTTAATATTAAATAATTGTAAATAATAAAGTTAGGTAAGTTTCCTAAGGTTCTTCTGGTAGAAAATATTTAATTTTTATATTATATAAATGAAAAAAAAATATATCTTTAAACGTATAAGAGAAAATTTTAGAAAGGACCAGTTTTACTTATTTGGTTCAATAATATAATTATATATATATATATATATATATATATATATATATATATATATATATATATATATATATATATATATATATATATAATGTATAATATATATATATGTATAATATATTATATATATATATATATATATATATATATATATATATATATATATATATATATATATATAATATATAACCAGCACAACTACATGAAATACTTATTTACTTACTCTATCATCAGGCACTGAAGAAAAATCAAAGAATCCCATTTATTAGAGCCGGAATGAAACATGTGCTAAACATGAAATTAAAATAAGTAAAAGAAAAGACGTTTCACTAACCAGTGGTTTTATCAGAATAATACAGTGACATAAACGGAAGACTGATCCTATTTTCCTCTCAAACCAAAAATCTCTTATTCACTGTAATATCTTTCATTTTTTTTTTCTATGGGTTGTACTTTTCAGATTAACCTCCTCTCAAGACGGGGAGGGGAAGGGAATTAAAACAATGCCTTGATGCCGGTGGAGTGACAGCATTCCAAGGAATTGAAGCAAAGCTCCCCTTTCTTGAATCAAATTTAGATGACTTCCTGGGAAATCAAAAGTCATCAGATGAAGGAAAAAATACCTCCAATTATTTTGATCAAGAGCCCTTCGTCAGTATGAAGTCACTAATTCCTCTTTAAGAAACTATATTCCAAGATTTTTTTGAGATCTAACTTTTTATTTTAACACTTTGTTTCTTGTTATAGATTTGATAAAAAGGAATTTGTTGATAAAAGAAATTTTTTTTGGCAGTTGGCAAATTTTTGGTTTCCAAGCGTTTATTCACTATCATTTTTTTCCAGAATCTCTATATCACATTCATGAAAAAAAAAATATAGAATTCTTCCCCGTAAGGCATGCGTGTCTTATAAGTCGACTAAAATGCCGGGAACAAGGGACCAGCAGCCCAAATCTTCTGTATTCAATTACTATAAAGTTACCGTAAAAAAATTTGAAACTGGGATGTTGAAATGTGTGAAGATGTACTACAGATAAGAAGAATTGATTGTTTAATATTATTAATGAAAAGCTTAATGTCATAGCTTTAACTTAAAGGTTAAGGAGGCGGGAGAGTTTCAGCAAGAAGGGATAAATGGGATCAAATTGTGTGTATCTAGAAGAATCAGAGGTAAGGAAGCAGTAACTGTAGTATTAAATGACCTCTGACTGTCTTCAAAAAGGCGCTGGAGAGGCATCAAAAGTCAGTACCTGTACCAGTCAGTACCAGTAACAGCCTGGTTGATTAGACCCTGTCCACCACGAGTCCTGGTGTCACACCGAGCCGCGGGGGCGTTGACCCCCGATACCCTCTCCAGGTAATCACTTATGGAAAGAAAAACAATGATTACAAGTGTTTACACTAGAATTATATGGGTTAGAATAAAGGAGGGATACGAGAAATTGATCACAGTGTGTATGCATCTGGGGACGAGTGCTGTGTTAAGGAAGTTATGAGCCAAATAAGAGTAAATGATGAGGGAGACATTCATAGTAAAGTGGATGAGATATTTACAGATGGTGTATAAGGTGTTGGGAGTGTTAGCTGTAAAGGAAACTAGCCGGAAAGGGGGTGGGAGGGAATCAAGTTGTGCGTAGAAAGTGGTTTGGACATATGTAATACTATTTTGAGAAAAAGGGGATAAATAAGTTTATGTGATACGATATAAGCGCAATAAAATCATTTACTTAGATTCTGCATTATTAGATAAAAGGTTAATGGGTACACTTCTGGATGCATATATCAGAGGAGCGATAGATATGTCAGATTATTATTTACAGAAAGCTATAGCCAAATGCCGTACAAGATTACTGGAAGCAGTGGGTTAGAGGGAAGTGAAAATAATTTAATTAAATAAGGAAGGTGGCCGTTTCGGCGAGATACCAGAATCTGTTTGAAGAAAGGAGGGCTGGAAATAGTGGAGGAAATGAGGAAGAGGTTGCGAAGGTATGGGACAAATTTGAGAATTAATTGCTAGTGTGTGCAGCAGAGATTTGTAGGTATCTGAGAGTGAGTGTAGATGGCAAGATGAGCAAATTGTGGAATGATGAGGTAAACAGCGTGGTAAGGGTTGGGAAAAACAGCTGTTGTGAGGTTTTTATAAACTAAATATGAGAGACTGAAGACAGAGTATATGGAGAGGAAAAGGTGAAGAAATGCAAATGAACAACCAATGAGAGAATAGGCGAGTCTTTCATCAGCAAATTTTGCTGAAAATAAAAAGTAATTTGGAGAGATCATTAAGGTGAGGAAGCCTAAAGAGCAAATAGACTTAGTTATAAATGAAAGAAGGGAATTTTAGACAGGGATGTGAAGGCACTGGAAAGGCGGAGAAGGTATTTTGATGAGTTGTTGAATGCTAGTGATTAAGAGTAGGCAGTAGTTTAATGCTTAGGGTAAGAGGAAATAACATCGTATTGCAGCGAGAAGGAACATTAAGGGGATGTGGGAAAAGTGTGCGAGACAGTAAACAGAATGAAAAAAAGGGGGATAGACGGGGGTTAAGCCAGAGATGTTATAGGCAAGCAAGAAGCAGCGGAACTTGGTGACGTTCGAGAGTTATGTTTAGTGTGAACATGCAGAGAATTCGTACTGTCGTCCGTCATCAGGAGCTAAGTAACACTGATGGTGTTAGGATTGCAGCAGTGTTTCCTGACAGTGAGGTGCGAGGTCACTTATTGGACTCTGCTAGCATTTTTACAGCTGAATTGTATGC